GAGGTAAGTCGAATTAGTAGATTTGTCTAGTATTGAAGAATGTATTGATTGAGTTATTTTACATTGGGAGCCATGCAAATAAGATTGATAATTGAGACGATTTTGTCAAGCTTGTTTTTCTAAACGAGCATAAAAAATTGTTCAAATTTGGATTGTTTAAAAAATGAGTTGAGCCTGAGCTAAGTCCAAAATAAGTCGAATTCGGGCCGAACCCAAGTACCTTGATTATTTTATATATAAACCATTCGAGCTCAGGTTATTTAGAACACGAACCGAGTCTTAACAAATCGAGCTCGAGTAATTCGGTTCAATTATCAACCCTAAGCATAGAGAGATGAAACTTTTGAGTGAAAAAAAAATTGGGATGAATTTTATATTATTGAATGACTATTGTTATATTTTTCTAAATTGAGAATTCAACTTTTTAGATTGCAGAAAATGTAGTAGGAAAGAATAAATTCTTATAAATAAAAAAATACAATTATGCTTCCTAAATTTGTTATCAAATGTTGTATCATAAATAATAAATATTTAATAGAAATTAATAAATGTCACTAATTCAACTATCCATATCTATGAAGCACGGATACGGCATAATACGATACAGATACGGCGATACGGCAAAATTTAAAAAAAAAATATGTGAGTACAATCAAGATACGACTATAATAAAATATATTTAATATTTTTATTATTTTCGATTAGCATAATACTTATATATTTTAGTAGTTTTTTAACACAATAAGAAAAATTTGTAATTTTTTTTAGTTTGAAGAAATTATATATTGCATCTCTGTGGTATATTCACAAAATAAAGTAATTAATTAAATGAATCAAAACTAACATTTGCAGAATCAGTTTATTTAGAAGTGATTTTTGCTAAAACAATAATGTAATAGATTTATTTTATACTTTTTTGACATGTAATTGTAGATAATACTTAAAAAATACTTACGTGTCGTTGAAGTAGTATAAATTTTTGTAAATGTATTGTATGGTATGTAAATTCGAAAGGAAATGTTAAAAATTCAACTCAAAAATTATATATATTGTTTGAACACAAAAATATCTATTAAGTATGTTAATATTTAATTATTATCGGATACGTAGGAGGTATATCCGATATGTATGTTTGAGTATCCGATGAGTATAGTATTCGATAAGGTATCCAATACGAATATGTCAATTCCAACGAAATATCCGTGTTTTATAGATTCAAATTAATTTAGAATATAAAATTTAATAAATGATTTTATCAGGACTTCTAGATGAGAGGCCATAATAATTGGTGGTGCTGATCACTACGGGATCAGTCTTTGGAGCCAACTTTACTATCCAACGCAGCCCTGAAAGCGACTGATAATAACTTACGTCATCATCTTATCTAAGCGTGACGTCAATAATCAGGCTGGCTTCACCAATCGCCACGTGGCACATTTATTGATATGTTTTGATGGGACCATTCTCTGCAATGTATTTTCCTTTCTCACGTCCGTAATTGGCCCGTAATATACACAGATATGACCTTTTATTTTGTGTTCTTTCTTTATGTTTCTTATTTTTTATTTTCTTACTTACCCAAAAAAAAAAAAATTACACGATGGAGTTGTTATTTGCATACAAACAATATTGATTGAGATTTTATTATTCGATTAAAAGATTAGAAAAGTATGGATAAGTTTTACACTGATGTATGAGTCTAATTTTTCAAAATTAACCTTTCCAATTCAAAAAAAAGATTATTATTGTATTATAAATGTTGTTATAAATAGAAGTCTGGGGGCATGAGTGCCAACATTGTTGTTTTATTATTTGACCAAAAGTATAACATAATCTAATTATATGTAGAAAGCATTTTTTTTTTTTGTGTGTGTGAGAGAGGAATTGACAACTTTCCATTCTTGAATATTAAATTCTTTATAATTTTGAACTATTTAATAAAAATGTGTTGGTTCTCTAATTAATTTTTTATAGATGGCCTCTAAAACAACTCCAACTATTTTTGCTGAGTAGTGCACATTTGAATATTTTCACCGTGGTGTTAATTATTTTGTACTTAATTTTTAAAACAAGTTAATATTGCACATTAATGATAATTTTCAGTAATGTAATGATCGGGGGTGGGATAGTAGTGCAGTTGAGAAAAATTGTAAATTCAGAGCATTGCGGTTGTTAGTACAATTATGTAGCAAATAATCTTTTTGGTTAGATTCAAGTAACATATGTATTATTTTGTTGTTGTTACTAGATAATGCATAAAAACGACATACAAATGCATTTTATTCTTTAACCAAGATAAATTTCAAGCTCATTATCTTTTCTTGGATATTTTCATACACCAACAATGCCAGACTACGGTGCCGTTTGGTGAGATAAATTTTCTGTTTTTTTTTTCATTTTTTTTTACTATTTCGTTTTGAAAATAAAGTCAAAATATGAAAACATTTTAAATAATATTTTTGAAAACATCCAAAAAAAACACGCGCGCCTCAGCCCAATCTTTTAGTAAGGTCATACAATCGAATCTTGTTAACACCAAAATTTGGGACTTTTGATTAAAAATATAAAAAAAAGTCATTTATCTCTACTCCTACCTACTGCTCACTCAACTTTTCTCTCTTTTGTATCTCTTTGCGAAGACTCTGAAGCTGCCGAAGGTTGAAGCTGCTCATCCTATCAAGGTCTGCTTAGATTGATCTTCGTCTGTAGCCCTAATCCTCTCTAAAAGGTAATTTTTAAAATTTTTTGGGTGGCTGGTGGTGGTGGATTTTGCATGGTTAGGTGTTGGGTGGCTGATGGTGGTGGTGGGTTTGGTGACGGGTGATGTTTCAGTAGAATTTTAGTGGTGGTTAAGTGATTGCCTATGGTGATTGGGTGGCCGGGTGATTGCGGGTTTTAGGTGTGGGTGATTGGTGGTGGTTGGGTGGTGGGGTTTTTGGGTGTGGGTGGTTGGTGGTATTGGGGGATAGATTTTCAATATAATAAACTACAAGAAAAATGAGTTTTTACGACAGTATAGTGCTATCATAAAAAGTCTATTTGGCGTCACTAATACTTTTTGTGGCAGCATTGCCTCGCCATAATACGTGTGGTCTCAAAAAGTTTTTACGGTAGTAATGATCTGTCTCAAATAGTATTTACGGTAGCAAGACTTTGTTGTAAATAAGTTGTCGTAAAAAATTCGACACTTTTACTTTTATCACAGTGGCAAAAGTGTTGCCTCAAATACCATATTTGGATGTCGTAAAAAATAGAAGATTTATTTAAGACGGCAACGATGCCGTCACAAAAAAAATATTTAATTATTATGGATCATTAGTAACCAATGTTATATATCTTGTGCATATATACACTCCGTACAACTTTTTCTTTTTTGAAGGGGGAGGGGAGAAGAGGACTTGAACCTTTGATCTCAAAAAGGCAAAATTTTCACAATATAAGGAGTACCATCAAACCAAAAATCTATTGGTATTCATACAACTACCTAATTTAATATATAAATAAACACAAAAGTAAATATAATCAATATATCCAAAAACATAGCAATATTTTCATATCCAAAAAAAAATCCCACAAGTTAAACAAAATGTAAAAAATACACTTTTATAAAACATAATAATCTATGAGTACAAGAAATTAATGAAAAAAGTTGAACATCATTCCCAATCGAACCATCTACTCTCTCACTGACATCTGAAAAAATATAAAATTATTGTTACTATACTGAAATAATATTTATATACATATATACAATAAGGAACTAAAAGAAGTTAGAATATATATCAATAGAAAGTCACGTAATATTTCTCTGAAAGACTTGTCCAATTATATAAATGTTATATAAATGAGTTATATTGTATATATTTATTATTATTAGTTTCACCAATACTTGATTTATTTATAATCGTATCGTGATGAGTTAACTCGTTTACTAAACAAGTGGCTTAAGAAATATTCAAACCCACTAATTTTATGTCGTGTTAACAGGTTGTGTCATATTTTGATACCCTTAGTTTTGATATAAAAACTTGATCGACTTTGTAAAGTTAATTTTTTTTTCTTTAAACTAGAAATTGTCTTTTGATGTTAAACTACGTAATTTTATAAAATATTACTTTTAACATTAAAAATAGTTGTGGTCAATACAAATTTTTTTTAGAGTTTTTATTCTTTAAACTATAAACTATTTTTTAATCTAAAACAACATTTTAATGTTTTATAAACTATAATATATGACAGGAAAAATAGCTGTCATAAATATAAAAAAAAATTTTGAATTTATAAAATATTATTTGAGGCAAGAAAAATAGTTGTCTTAAATACAAAAATTTCTTTTGAGTTTAGGACACTATTTACGAAAAAAAATAGTTGCCACAAATATTAACACAAACACGTTTTTTGTGACGGTAAACACAGCCGTCACAAAAAATTGTCTCAAATACGTATTTTGTGATGCCGAACACAGGGACCGTGAAAAATTTGTCACAAGGCCCTTATTCTTTTAGTGATATCAAATATGTTTTTTATTTTTATGTTTATAATTTTGTAAATGTAAATAACTATCAAACATTGTTTTATATTTTATATTTTATATTTTTTATCACAGAAAAACAAAAATTAATTTAATTTTTTATAAATATATATATATATATATATATTATCAAACGCATCCTACATGATAGGAGTCTTTTTATTTCTTTTTTATAGGTGAGTACTCTTATAAATACTAAATAAATATATTATGTTAAGAACACATGGCAATGACGCGCCTTTGTTGAGCTTGGACAAGCATTCATATCTCACTATTCTTGTTTGCTTTCATTTATTTTATCAAAACGTACACTTGTCTTCCCATTTTCCACCCTCTCTATCCTTCTCTACTTTTTCCATCTTGGAAATCCATATCATCCCTACACCAATAAGAATATCAGCACACCAACTTTTTCCATATAGAATTCAACTCTTTTAAGCATAATTAAGCTTCATTTCTCTCTCTAGACATGGATAATCCACTTGGTGTGCAGCAAAAAAAGGCAACAAAACTGGCCAAAACCAAGAAAAAACCTCTCAAGATTGTGTACATCTCCAACCCTATGAAGGTAAAGACTAGTGCCTCAGAATTCAGAGCCTTGGTGCAAGAACTCACAGGCCAGGATGCTGAACTGCCTGACCCGGTTCAGTTTCCGGTGGCCGACCACCAGGTAGTCCCTGATGCCACGGTCAGTGAAGATCAAGCACATCAAGTTCCTAGAGCAGACCCTGGCGGTGAAGTAGCTAAGCCGTCCGATGATTCTGATTTTTCATCTGAGCCGTATGATGATGGTATACTTATGCTGGAGAATTTTCCGGGATTATTGCCTTCAAACTTGTGGTTTGAATCTGCTCATGACGATGTGTTGAAAAGCCTAGAATAGATGCAATGTAAAATTGGGTATTCTTTAATTTCCTAGCCTGTGCTTACTATTTACTGTGCATATGTATATATATTTGTGTGTGTGTTGTTCTATATCTATATCTATATATATATATATATATGTTGATCATGTTGTATGTAACTAAAGATTAACCCTGTTCATGTCTTGATCCTGTTTTTGTTCCGAATTTTACTGTACGTATGTGGTATGTAGATGATTTTGTGCAAAAGAATGTATACTTATTAGACTGTTCCGCTTTTAAAAACATGCTAGCTAGCTATATGAACTAGGGTTACCACTTAGCTTCTCAATCTTACAATATTCCAGATCTAGGGGGTGTTTGGAATCAGTAAATACGCACTCTTCATGGGGTGAAAACAGTTTTTAATCTGAAGATAACTTGTCTGTATGATTTGGATCAAAGGGCTAGGCTAAAAGATGAGAAAGGCTCACATTCTTCCTTACAAAGTACAAGCAGAAACATGTGGAAAGTTGCACGTTAGCTTAAGTGAAAACACTTAACCAAACACGCCCTAGCTAGATGTCGGCGACACATAGCAAGAGAATCTATTGACAAATATCCACCAAATATGATATAATTTTTATTTTTATTTTTCATTTGATGGAATGAAATCAGATGAGACGTGACTGACTATATATTTTACCCCCCCAATGCTCCACAAAAATATCAACTAGAGTGAAGCGCGGAATTAAGATTCTATATGAACTAAAAAACAAATTGCATATAAAAAAAATTATTTCAAGCACAAGGAAAGATATTATGATTAGAGACTCAATTTCTGTAAAACTAGTTTCTATTTAACCTTCACAAAATATATGAATGCAATTAGAATTTTCTAATTTTTATTTTTCATTTTGGTTTTTACTATTTATTCATGAGTGATACTTAGCAACATATTATAATTATCTCTTGATAGCCCAAAGTAGGTAAAGAATGCATTCGATCAGTTCTTTCTATAACACAATATCCCAATTGAATTAAATCCCTCACTCAATTTTATGTATTCGGTATTAGCCTTAAGACTTCTAATTATTACTTAGAAACTCTTTTAATTGTTATTCTAACTTGGCCAAAGACTCGTTGAGATATATCCTAAAAGATTACATAGGAGAATGTGATAATTTTTATTTTGTACACTAATAAGTCTCAATGCGTATCTAATAATGTCAATTATACATATTCAAGATATATGGTTATATGTTGTATAGCTAAACCATAGAAATTCATGCAAAAAACAACTATAGTATCTCGAGTCTAAGGATAATTTGCACAACTAAAACTTAATAATTCATATTGATAAGTAGGGATGATAGTGGACCGGAAAAAAATGTGTATTCATTCAAATCCGTCACGTTTGGACTGGGGATAGACTATACGTATTGGACGGTGGACGTATACCGGGATACCCGTATAAACCTATGCAGGAATGAAAGTCGAGAAGGACTTACCCTTAGCCCCGCCCCGTCCCGTCCCCGTTAAACATTGCACATTATTACTTATTGTTGCTTCCTTGCTGTGTCTTATAGATGTCTATTGGGTACCCTTTTTTGATTTCAACTTTCCTTACCAACACATGTGGCAACGTAATGGAAAAAGTTAGGTTCATTTTAAATCCAAATAAGTGTATAAGGCTAGGTAATGCAATAATCAAGCAAATAGCAAAAATCCAAAACAATTATCATACCAACAATAGATATGGTAAAGAAAATAGCAATGTGATGTAGCCTTCGTGTTAGACAGAAAATGGAAGCCACCTAGCACGACTAATATTTATAATTATACTGCGATGAGTGCAAAAACTTTCAAATTTTGATTAGATACAAAATCACTAGATAATGGAGGTGAGAAACAAATACAAGCATACCAATCAAGCATTAGGCACCAGTTGAAACCAGAAGTTCACTGGTTTAGTTTCATCTTGAGTCTTTGTGATGTACATTTACAAAAGAGAGAAAACATATTCAATAACCCCGAAGAGATATTTCCAACTGCTCTATTTTTTTAGCTAGATTATGCTTCCCACAATTCTTTAATCCATCAGTAACCATGTCAAAGTTTCGCGACATGGGCGACAAATTCAACTCCGTCATCTCAACCAAATAATTAGCAGACTCAACAAATCTACCACCACGTCCACACATCTTTATTAACATGGTATTTAAAATGTTAGATTATTTAGAATGTTGTTGAATTATTTAAAATGTTGAATTTATTTAGAATTTTGGATTATGTTGGCTTGAACTTGGGTTTGTGCTTAGGCTTGTGTTTGGGTTTGGCCTTGGGCTTGAGCTTGGGCTTGGACTTGGGCGGGGTATAAGAAAAGCAGGGACAGGGACGGAGATTAGAAATTTATCCGCGAATATAGATTGGGATGAAAATTATTCCCGTTAACGGGGGTAAACTGGAGATGGTCGAAGTTTTTTTAAGCGGGTTCGGGAATGAACACTATACCCCCGTCCCCGTTTCGTTCCACTGACATCCCTATTAATAAGTATGTAAAATTAATTATGAAAGTCCTATATATATTAATCAATAGGCATGTGCAATATACGTGTTCTCTTGTAAGTATCCACATGCTTGCTTTAATGTCTCTATATTAATAACTTGAGATGAGCTAAGTCATATCATAATCAAGCATAGCACATACTAGTCTATCATGATCGCCTAATGCTCAATTTGCAAGTCTATGTCTAGGAAGAGTTAAATGTTAAGAAATATAGACCAAATTTTTTGAGCGGTCCTTCACCGGTATCTAATCTGACTCAAATGAGCTTCCTGGCTTTCTCAAGGGTCTCCTCTTTGTTGTGAGACAAGGCATTGAGCTTCAAAAGACAGTTCAAATTGTAATAAAAACGAGTTTTAAATTTAGATGTCTTAAGTTGAATCTTAACAATATTATGAGATCAGGTCATATCTCTCATGAATACCTTAGTCTCGGTATTTATAGTTTATTTTTAACTATATCGAGAAAATGATTTATTGAAATACGCATAAGTTAGATTAGACAACTCTGATTATCGGAAAAAAAAAAAGGAATGCCTTAGATCAGTATTGTATTGATTTATGCATCCATCACGTTTGGGTCCTATCATTAGTGTTGTTTGTTTTGGACGACACGTACCTCGTGTTTTCCAAATGGCTGTTTAGTCAGTTGAACTGTTTGCGTGCATTTTGATTGCCAAAACGTCAATGCACGAGCGTGGAAGTTTTACACAATCAAACAAACCTACTAGAAAGTCTTCTTACATTTCTTGATCCGACAATCTAGCTCATAATAATTCATTAATTATTCACACTCAATTTAAATTAAAAGATTTGGATCCTCTTAATTTAAATTTTATCAACTTTATTAATTTGAATCATCCGTCATTAAAGTCTGGATTACGGAATCATTCTTGATTCTCTCAAGATGAATCATTCTTGATTCTCTCAAGATTCTTCCATTTAGGAAGTCATTAGATCAAGGAATTTATTTCTCATGCATGTCTCCCTCCTCCTTGGGGGGTTTGGCCGTGCTTCTCTTTCAATTATCTCTTTAACCATGTGCATTTCTTTTCTTCTCCACTATAGATGCATTGTTTTAAATTTGAATAGTTGATTGTCTATTGTAATAGTGATTTACTTGTGTTATCGCCATAATTGAGTTCATTAGATCTCAATGGATGAACCTATAGATAGAAATCTATTAATGGGATTTAATAAGTATAGCAATAATTAATTAAAATTAATAAAATTTGAAAATAACAACTAAAAAAAATTCAAAGGTCAAGGTTGTTAATTTTGCTTTATAAAGAAAAATTTGTATTCCTAGGGTGAGTAGCGAAGCAAAATGTCGAAGCAAAAATACCTATCTTTTGCTTCGATTTTTTTACTTCGACAATTTTTCAACATGAATGTGTTTTTTGTTTTCGTAATAGATTGAAGTTAACTTTTTAGATCGAATTTTTTTATTACATTTTTTTAGCCGAAGTAAAAAGTCTTGGTGTTTTTGCTTCGGCACTTAGACTTTTTGAAACCTCCTTTTTTTTGTAGTGGGCTAAGTTAGTGAAAACCGTAGAATTTGTGTCCCAATGGTACCTGGCGTGTGATGGGTAAGATTGATAGTGTCACATTTGCTAGAAAATCAACCGAACTATCCACTCATTATCAGCTGTCATCATCAAATTTGTTACAAAAAAAAGAAGCTGTCATTGTCACTTTTTTTTTTTTTTACTTTAAACCTAAATTAAAGTGAAATTTACTCATTGCTTTGAATAAATTATTATGAGTTCATGGTCTATTTCGCAAGAAAAATAATGTAATATATTTACTTGCTCAAATCAAATAAAATGTATATGAAAAAATAAATTACAAAGTAATTGTTTGGACATAAAATGTAAAATTGCGAGGGCATTCGATGCTTGTAGTGTTGGCAAACCTCAAATCACTAAAGGATTGCCACAAGTCAAGGCCTGAAGAAAAGGTAGGAAGCGACCAGTCACAACTCTGGTTTAAAAGAAAAAATAACTGTTTGAGAGTTACAACAGTTGATAAGGGAGAAACCATTAAAAAAAGTGGATATAAAAAGAGGAAGATGAAAAAACAACTCAAATCCCTCACAAGACCCACGATCAAGACATTTGAAAATAGTGCTTGAGTTAGTTTTAAGAAATAGTTACTCCTGTAATCAAACACTCTTAAGTCAGTCACTTTGTAACTGTTTGATAGTCAGTATTTTGTGTGTTTTGTCATTGAATTTCAGCCAAAGAAGTCTTGAAATAAGGTAATAGAACTCGTCTACAAGCAATTGTGTGAGAACTATCTATCGATTGATGCATTTCTGTCGATTGCAACAAAATTTTTGGGACAATAATCTTTTGGCACGCCCAGTGAGACATCATTACTAAATTGGATCAAAGAAGATGGTGCGAACAAAAAACAAGACAAGCTCATATTCGAGTCTAACGAAACTGTAGAAATGACGCCAGTCAATGGCAAT